CGCTTTGGTCATGCTTCTTTTGATTATTTAAAACGATTGTTTCCACAATTATTTTCTGCTTTAGATATTTCGGATTTTAAGTGTGATATTTGTGAATTTGCTAAAAGTCATAGAATCTCATTCCCAATAAGTATGCATAAAAGTTCCGTCCCATTTATGGTGGTTCACTCCGATGTGTGGGGTCCAGCAAAAATTCCGACTCTTAATGGTGCACGTTGGTTTGTTTCTTTTATCGATGATTATTCTCGCATGACTTGGGTGTGTTTAATGGCATCAAAGAATGAAGTTGCATCCCTGTTTCAGAAATTTCACACGATGGTGGCCACTCAGTATCAATTTCCTATACGAGTCCTCCGCTCTGATAATGGCGGAGAATTTGTTAATCAGTATTTGACACCATTTCTTAATCAACATGGCATTGTACATCAGACAACTTGCACTTCTACCCCTCAACAAAATGGAGTGGCCGAGCGAAAGAATCGTCACCTCCTCGAAGTTGTACGTGCTGCCCTGTTTGGAGCTCACATGCCTACGAATTTTTGGGGGGAAGCTCTCACTTCTGCTGCTTATCTCATCAATCGAGTCCCTTCCCGTACCTTACAGTTCCAGACTCCATTTCATGTTCTCCATGCGGCTATCACTGCTCCAACCGTCCCGAATTTGTCCCCAAAAGTCTTTGGTTGTGTTGCCTTTGTGCATCTTCACAAACCCTTCCGTACTAAGTTGGAACCTCGTGCTCTTCGTTGTGTCTTTGTCGGCTATGCCTCTCATCAAAAAGGCTATCGCTGTTATCACCCGCCTTCTCGTAAGGTCTATGTTACTCTTGATGTTGTTTTTCATGAGGATACAATGTATTACTCTTCACCCGCGTCTCCACTTCAGGGGGAGCATAGCAATGAAGTGCAGACCTCTCATGACATTTTAACTCTGGATATTCTGGATTCTGACATACCTAATGAGGAGCATACCAATAAGCATAATGCAGAGCATAATCATAATCCAACACTTGTTGAAGTTGACATACCTAATGAGGAGCATACCAATAAGCATAATGCAGAGCATAATGATAATCCAACACTTGTTGAAGTTGATACCCATACCGAGGAGCATACCAATAAGCATAATGCAGAGCATAATCATAATCCAACACTTGTTGAAGTTGATACCCATACCGAGATTGACCCAATGGAAGTAATACCGCAGCCCACACTGGTGCACCCAGCATCATCTCAGGTTTCACAAGAGCAAGAGCACACTTCTTCTTCCCCGCAGACAGTACCATTTAACCAATTGGGCTCTTCGATTGGCTCTATCCCTGAAGAGCATGAGGTAAATCTTGACCCCAAACAAAAACTCCTACCTGCTCGTGTCACAAGAGGAATACCGAAAGCAACATATGAACCTGCTCTTAACTCTCAGCCTAAGTACCCCATGAGTAACTTTGTCTCATACCATCAATTGTCAAAGGATTGTGCATCATTTGTGAATCCATTATCTGTTGTATCTATTCCTAATAGTGTGTAGGAAGCTTTGAGAGATCCCAGGTGGAAGGAGGCAATGAATGAAGAGATGAAGTCTCTCCAAAAGAATTCAACTTGGGATATTGTCGAGTTACCTAAAGGAAAGACACCTGTCGGGTGTAGATGGGTGTTTACTATCAAATACAAAGCTGATGGAGCTATCGAACGATTCAAAGCCAGATTGGTTGCCAAAGGGTATACACAAACATATGGACTAGATTATGGGGAGACATTCGCACCAGTAGCCAAAATAAATACTGTTCGTATTTTAATTTCTCTGGCTGTAAATCTAGATTGGCCTTTGCATCAATTTGACGTAAAAAATGCGTTTCTACATGGGCATCTCCAAGAAGAAGTTTATATGGCATTACCTCCTGGATATAATCTGCCAACAAAAGGGGGCAAATAGGTTTGTAGATTGAAGAAATGACTATATGGCTTGAAACAATCCCCTCGAGCCTGGTTTGGTCGGTTCACAAGCTCTATGAAGGCATTCGGATATAGACAGAGTAACTCAGATCATACTTTATTCTTGAAACATAACAAAGGAAAAATCACAGCCCTTATTATCTATGTTGATGATATGATAGTGACTGGAAATGATCTAGACGAAAGGAAGGCATTGCAAAATCACCTCGCCCATGAGTTTGAAATGAAAGATCTTGGTCTATTAAAGTACTTTCTAGGGATTGAAGTATCAAGATCAAAAAGGGGTATTTTCTTGTCCCAACGTAAATATGCCTTAGATTTGTTAAAGGAAGTTGGTATGTCTGCTTGTAGTCCGGCTAGTACTCCGATGGATGAGAACTTGAAGCTAAGTATACATTCAAATCAAGTGCCTACTGACAAAGCACGTTATCAAAGACTAGTTGGAAGATTGATGTATCTTGCACATACTAGACCGGACTTGGCTTATGTGTTGAGTGTTGTCAGCCAATTTATGCATTCTCCAAGCGAAGAACATATGAATGCAGTTATCCGTATATTGCGATACTTGAAGTCATCTCCGGGAAAAGGAATCATGTTTACAAAAGGATGCAACTTGGAGGTTGAGGGTTATACCGATGCAGATTGGGCTGGATCAATTGATGATAGACGTTCTACGTCTGGATACTTCACATTTGTGGGTGGAAACTTAGTTACATGGCGAAGTAAAAAACAGGAGGTAGTAGCTAGGTCTAGTGCCGAGGCTGAGTACAGGGGAATGGCTAAGGGAGTATGTGAGTTATTGTGGATCAAAAGTTTAATGCAAGATTTGCATATTAAACAAACCAATCCCATGAGATTATATTGTGATAATAAGTCAGCATGTGATATTGCCCATAATCCAGTCCAACATGATAGGACTAAACATGTTGAGGTGGATAGGCACTTTATTAAAGAGAAACTAGAAACAAAGATCATCGAAGTGCCTCATGTACGTTCTCAAGACCAGCTCGCTGATGTGCTCACCAAGCCAGTATCAAGCCGGGCATTTAATAGCTGTCTCGTCAAGTTGGACATGAGTGATATCTATGCCCCAACTTGAGGGGGAGTGTTGAAGATTGATTGAAGATTGTTTGGCATAATTTGAGGATGACTGTGTGTTAATTATAGTATTTGTATAAATTAGGTAATGTGTATCAATTAGGTAATCATTCCTTTCTTGTATTGCTGTGTATGGCTATATATATATCATTCCATATTGTAAAAGTATATAGAAAAATAATATTTCATCTTGAAACCTCTGAATCTCTTGTTTTCTACTTGGGACTTATTGACCCCAAAAAAAAGCAAGGCAAACAATGGGGTTCTTGTAATTCCAAAAGGGCACAAGCTTATCCAATGTATCCAGTTGAGATGTGATGGTACCGTGGCACGCTCACATGCCTCTTTGGTGTCAAAAGTACTTTCCTTCATTGAGATTTTTTTGAGTGGGTACATTTTTATTTTTGATTATTTCAAGCTTTAATGTCAAAACCTAGTGTGACCCATGTACATATGCAAAAATCAAAAATCATTTATAATTCTGTCCAACCTTTGTCGCTGTTAATCGTCCTCGTCCTCCCTTAGTTGTCTTCTCATTGGTGGGTACAAAATGCCAGGGAGTAATATTTGACTAGAGCAAAATAAGTTCATTGTTGACCATATAAACTGTAAAGTTTTTCTAAAAATATGGATTGGTCTTTCGATTGAAAGAGAGCACAGAGTGACAATGGTCCATTGTACTCTCTCTCGTTGAGAAGTTATTTAGTATTGCAAGAGTATTGTTTTACGCTATTCATTTAAAGACAAGAGTTCAATTATTTTCTAAAAGAAGACAGAAAAGTAATGGGTCTCATTGATTTAATCAATGACAATTAAGTTGGAGCATCACATCATCTTGCCCCCAGTAGCAAAGAATAATTCTCCCGTCACGTTTCATTCATATTTTTTTTTAATAGCGGGATAATTAGACAGTTTATGCACATTTTTATTAATTTGAAATTTACGCAAAACGGTTCTTCTACGTGAATTGAGCAAAACTACACTCTTTGATAATAGATAAATCGATAAAATATTAAAAATCTTTTAAATTCACAAGAAAAATAAAGTATGATTCAATTTCTTTTATTTTTTTAGATAAATTATATTAGCATATCTTAAAATTTTTAAAAATGTCTCACAAATTTAACATAATACACTAAATTTCTTTAATTTTTTATTCGTATAATGCTCGACCTCTTTTTCATTGAAAAATCCTTAATCGTATAAAAGAAAAAAATGATATTATCATCTATTTTATATTGAAATATATATTTATGTTGTCATTACTTTTTGTCTCTTTAACCTAATAAAAAAATTTAATGTAATTATGTCAAAATTATAAATTTGTTATATTTATTCCAAACCTTAAAAAAAAAAAAAATTAATATAATTATGTTAAAATTGTAAGATTTATTATATTTACTCCAAACCTGAAGAAAAGTCAAATATAATTTACCTTTTTTCTATTTCCTTTTTAGTCATTGTTTAATTGTTTAAAAGAGAAATCAATCTCATTCTTACCTTATTGAAGGTTGACTTTTCTGTTTTTTTCTTTTCTTTTCTTTTCTGTTTTTTTTTTTTTTCTTTTTTAGTCTTAAAATCAATTAAATTGTACAATTTTGACACATGATGTGGTTACAAGGCTCACGCGAACCAGTCCAAAACGCATGAAACGTATGGGCTTCTGTTCTTGATGAGGGTAATTAGAATGGGCCTTGCCTACTAACAGATCTAAATGAGTTTACTCACATCTGGCCCCAATGGAACATTGCTAAAATGGGTAGCTACAATCAAATTTTGGCTAACCAAAAAAAAAAAGAGGATGTATTTTAGTAATGTGGACAATGCCTAACAAATAATAGAAATTTCTAAATTGCATATAAGCATAAGCTGCCATTTTATAGGGTTTAATAATCAAAGTATATGAACAATATCTTCATTGATTAGCTTACGAGAAGGATCGATATTTATACAAAATGATGATTAGAACCGAAGATTGGCTTGAAAAGTAGCTCCTTCAATATCCTTCTCCTTCTCCATTTTTATTTTTTCTTTTAAAATGGCAAGTTCCTTCTACCTTAGCCGGAACATCTTGTGTTGTGCTTTTGCTTTTCTTTGCCTGCATGAGTCAGATCGAGAAATTTTACAACATTTGATAATCATCATTCATGTTTGATTAAAACATCAGCCACTCTTGGCCGTCGGCCATCTATCTGCTAGGCTAAAATTTTTGCGAAAATTGAAAAATAATATAGACGCATATAAAGTATTTTGGAAAAGTATTTTGAATACAGTGCTAGTAACATTACATTCATTATAAATGAATTTTTTCAAGCAAGTATCAAAAATGTTTTGCTGACAACATTGCATTCATTTTGAATGAGACCTATACTCAACCAAAGATGAATGTAATGTTGCTATATTGCATTCTAGACGCTAATTTTTGTGAAGTTTTTTTTGTTTGTAGCATTAATGATGGAAATATAAATGCAAAAGTGAAGGGGTTGTTAAAAATGCTTACATAGATTGTAGCAAGGTTGCTCAAATGCTGGATCTTCGGTTGCTGGGGGAGGATCCTGACCGTATATCATATCGCAACTCATATCATCATAATCTACAAAAACCAAACAGTGCATCACAGTTACATATGATTATGATGATCTATTAATGGAGCATATGATTTGATGAATCATGAATGAGAAAATGGATATGGGTTGCATTTCAATTTCCAATAGCTCTGTCTAAAATGATACTAGCAATTCCAATGATTGGAATACTAACTTGGGACCATGTTGAGTGGCATTCCTAAGTAGTCCTTAATGAAGGTTTGAGTAGGCATCTTACAGAGGTTGATGCACATCCCCACACAATTCGACTCCTCTAGAAGCCTGCAAAATTCACTAGGTATTGTTTTGAATTGTGGAATCCTAAAAAAAATAAGGATGATAATGAAAGCACCAAAAAAAAAAAAAAAAAAAGAAACTTGTCCATTAAACAGCCCAAGAAATGAATATAGGATGTTGATGCAAAATTGTTAATAGTGTAGAACAAATTTGGTGCACTTATTTTATTTTGTAGACAGTTATTTTTTCTGAATGCATAATATTGACAAAAAGATATGCTCACATATGCTGTTAAAATTGAAGAAGTTACCAAAAAATACGAAAAAAAAAAACTAAATTTAAAAAAAAAAAGGAGAAGGAGAAGAAGAAGAAGTAATTTTGGAATTAAAATAAATATATTTAATTTGGAGTTTTTAAAATTAGTTTTATGAGTTTTTAATTCGTATTTTTTTATTGATTATTTTTAAAAATATTTTAATCACTTTTTTTTTTTAAAAAAAAAACTTTTTAGATCCACTTAATCTTAATATACTTAAAAAGTATAAAATTTCTAAAAAAATCTATAAGAAATTCATTAAAAATATAAAAATATACTGAATTTTTTTTTTTAATATCTTTTGTGTTTGGTGAAATTTTTAAAGTTTTTTTTCACAAATATTATATTTTTTAAATGTATCTACATTTTTTTTAAAAAAGAAATTGCATAAAATGTTCAAAAAATTACTAAAAAAAAATACACAAAAATAAAAAACTCAATGATGGGGAAAATTTAGTTAAAGCAAACAAGGTGAAACAAGCTACGTTTTGACTCGTATATTCTTTAATATTTTTTTACCAAAAGAAAATCATTTTAAGTTGTTAAAAACTTGAATTGAAAGGGAATGCCATAAGTTACCTGCATTTCTTAATGTGTGTTACATTCCTCTCTCTTTTACCGTTCAACTCCGACTCCCTCACCTTGCAACAAAAATAAAATAAAATAATAAATAGAATTAATCCCAATATATTTCGTCGCCAATATATTGGTCCATCAGGATTGTGTAAGTGTATAATTTGTGACACTATAATAATATTAATATTGTTATAAATATATATATAGAGAGAAAAATGCACAGAAAATTAATGTGCAGTCAAAATTCATTATAATCGTTGGTGATTCATCATAATCAGAAAGAGTATTAACCACACCTATTTTTCTTCATTTTTTTTATACAGTACTAGCATTATTGAAAAAATAAATTGCTTTTATTTAATTCAAATTCAATGTCGCACCAGTAATTCCTAAACTAGATGAGTGTCTTCTCAAATTAATGAAACTTGAAGAAACATGCTATCACGGCTGACCCAAAGTCAATCATAGTCTCTCATTTTTCTTTTTTTCTTTTCTTTATGACAGTATTTTAAAGATAAAATCTTAATTCCGTCCCTAATCTTATTAGATGTTGGAATTCATACAGGCCATGGAGGGCAGAGGTTGTTTCATGCTCCAAAAAATTCTTGTAAAAAAAAAAATTTGTATTCATTTATTTATGTATGCTTTTAAACCTCAAAAAAGAAAAAAGAAAAGAATAAAATTATAAAAAGAAAAAAGAAAAAAGTGGTATGTGTAAAGATTTTGTTATCGTTACCTCACTGGTTCCGACCAGCCAGTTGACACAGAGTGTAGTCAAGACAGCAAAAAGTTCCCTTGCGAATTTAGAATTTGTTAACAGTGTGAATATCCTTATCTGCCATTCATTATTTTAAGTTCAAATCAAATAAGAATAATGTAGAAACAAAAAAGTTAATGTTTGGCCTAAACTCATTTTAAAATTTATTTAAATTGTTTAAATAAAAATATATTGATATGATTGTTTCAAAACAATTAATCTTAAAATAAATAACTCCATACTATTCATGTAATAGAAAGAATTTTGATCTGATTAAAATAAGAATTATTCCAAGTTAATTAAGCTTGTGTTTGAATTTTTAATTTAAAGAATAATTTATAAAAATAATAGAAAAAATGCAAGAATATTAAGAGGGAAAAAAAAAAAGAGAACTTAAAATTTATTCTTATCTTCATTTCATTTCCTTTTGACAAAATTTTGAAAAATTCAAGATCCAAACTGTAAATTTTTATAAACTTAAAGAGGTTAATCTGTAAAGCCAATACAAGTTAAAAAGATAAGTAATAACAAGAGCTATATCAATATGTTGACATTAAAAAATAATTTGTTATCGATTATGACTTTTTGATTATGGTCAAATCTCATTTAATTGATTGTAACTTGTAAATTATGCCTAAATCTAATCTCATTAGTTGTAACTAGTCGATTTTGATATGTCGATTTAGATCATAAATTATTTTTAACATAAAATTATAATTACGAACATTTATATTTTATGTTATTATTATTATTGTTGTTATCTTATTGCTTGTGCAAGAAGCAGTTGAATACATAATGGAGTAGTGGAGGCCGTTAGAGCTAACACGCATGAGTTGATGCTAGAATTATAGATTAATTGCTTTATCATTGAAGAATTGCCTTATGGAACTGTCTTGAGCATTTATTTTGAAAGGAACTGTATGGCTGCAAGCACATAGAGGGAGATTTGGTCAAAACCCCCCATAATAAATTTTTAATATATTAAAAGATAAGTATAAAAAGTTTTTCGTGAAAAGTCTAACAAATATCACTATTATCAAAATATTAAACTTTAAAATAATATAACTTTTTATGTAGCTGTCGGTTTTTAATAAAATTAATATTTTTAGAATTCTCTCATCAAGATCTATCAAATAAATCCATATTGACTATGAAATTATTTTTTTTTAAAAAAATTATTACCGTTGAAATTGTTGTAAACAGTAACGTTAACATATTATTTTGTTTCACAATAATATGTTATTCTGACAACATTGTCAAAGAAAGAAAGAATATATATTTCCAGCCTATAAATAGGTAGAACAGGAAACAAAAAGAAAGGAACAAATCATCAACACTCAACAAGAGTTAGAATAGATATGTAGGAATAGAATTTCTTTAGGAGTAATCTACTAATCATAGGAGTATTTAGTGGTTTTGTAATGATTTTTTGATTCTTGTAATCAGTTTACTTTTTCTTAGTTCTTTTGTGTTTTTATCCTTATTCAAATCTTTATAACAAATAATAATTTTAGCAATATAATGTTACTTTTAGTTTGTTTCTCTTTGTCAATAATCTCCAAAAACTTTTTTGAATTTTTCAAGACACAGGACACCGATTTATTGTTTGTAAAATTTTGAATTCTCTATCGATTTGGTCTAAACCAGATTTTTGCTAACACAATAAAAACCATATAACAAGGGGGGCAAGATGCCCCAGTGGTAAGGGCGCACACGTGACTGTGTGGGTAAGGCGCACGGTCACGGGTTCGATTCCCCACTGGGTGAGTGCTTGCAGCAGTTTGAAAGGGGTACACGGCTTCCCCCGGGCTACTTACCCCGCAGGATTAGTCCTGGCTTCCCGAAAAACTAGAGGGTTGGGGATACCTGCGTTATCAAAAAAAAATAAAAACCATATAACAATGGAAAAATGAAGATGATAGGGAAAAATTAAAAATTAAATTTTTTATTTTCATTCGGAGCTTTCACAATAGCTTTCATGGCTATTTGGCGTTGTCGGATCGGATCATATTTACGCAACGCCATTCTACTTGCCTCCACCAACCCCTCGTATCCGCTCTTGTTGTTTCTCAACCCTGTGTATTTACATATAGAGCAATAACCATATATACTAACCCCAAAAAAAATCATATAAAACGTTTTTAAAATTTTATTTTATTATGAAAACAATGTTGTCACAATAATCTTGTCATTTTTTTTTGTGAATTTTTTATGAGAATAGAGTTTGGTATATGTTCTCTCCAGTTGGCATGTCATCCTAAGTAGAGGTACTATGGGACTTCCATAGACCCATCGTGAAATTTATTTTAATAATTTAAACTGTTCATATTTTAAATTTTTCTAGTTAAATATCCATGCAAAAAATTGATAGCGATTGATATGAATGTTATATATGAAAAAGAAGGAAATGAGGGAGCGAACCAGTTGTAGATTGGAGGCAGTGGGAGAGATCGTTAATGGCAATGAGATCAAACCAATTATCATTGTAATCAACAGTCGTCGAGCTTGATTGTTTCTCTACAACACACTATAAGAAATGTCACTTTTGGTTACCAAAATATTGGTCGCCAAAAGTCCAATATTTAGTCGCCGAAACCATTTAGCGACTATAATATTTGTCGCCAAACTTGTCGCCTATACCTTATCGGCGATAGTATTGGCGACTAAAATATTTTTGGTCGCTGAAAGTGAACGTTTTGGCTACTAAATTTTCGTTAGTCGGCAAAGGTTATGTTTTGGCGACTAAAATATTAGTAGCCAAAAGTAAGCATTTGGCTACAAAACTTTGAGTAGTCGGGAAAGGGGATATTTTGGCGACTAAATATTTAGTCGCCAAAAGTGTTCAAATAAAATTAATTAAATTTTCAGCGACTAAAACTTTTTGTCGTAGATAAGTTTTAGTCACAACATTACTACATTTAGGGACTAAAGAATTTAGTCGCCAAAAAAATTATTTTTCATTTTATTAAACTTTTGGCTACTAACCATTTGGTAGCCGAAAGTCTTCATTATATTTTTAACTACTAAATTTTTAATCACCAAAAATCTTTGGGTTCTTTATGGCTACCAAATATTTAGTCACTAAAAATATTGATTTCCTTTTTGGCTACCAATTGGTTAGTCACTAACAAATTCACTTCTTTTTTTTTTTCCCTACTAAACATTTAATGGAAAAAACTTTATTTTGTGTTTTTTTTTATTATAATTAATTTCTTCACAACTTATATTTATTTCGTGCAACCTGCACCCTGTATTTAAACAAAATAATACATATATCTATTTCTATTTCGTTTCAACAATACAAAAATTTGATCTTTTAACATCAAATTCTATACAAATCTGAATTATCCAACCCAAAATAATAATTCCATGCAAACACAAAATCATACAAAAAAGATGTCCTCTGTACAAAAAATTCTACATCAAATGTCATTTACAGAATATTTTGAAGGTGTAAACATGATGGGAAAATTAAATTTATTTACTAAAACACTTGCTTAATTTAACAATGAAGCCATTGATCTAAACGCTTCTCATCCTTCAAGCTTGCTTCATATAGTTTGGTACCTTTCTTTCTGAAGACACCAACTGCAAAATAATGCAAATGAAGTAATGCAATCAGAAAATCGAGAAATGGAATGGAAAGATGCAAGAACATTTTCCAATATACCCATTGCCCATGTCTTATAAAACATTGTAATAATCGCACCTTCAAATATAGTAGGAGGCTAAAAATCAAATATAGTAGGAGGCTAAAAATCATTAAGTGATCTATAAGTAAATCCACAACTATCAATCATTAATCTAAGATGCAACAAAATTTGGTATTTTCTCAAGCATATCTTAGCAGTCAAAATCATTAACGCATAACTAAAAAATATATATCATTTGACCATATTACTACAAATATTCGATTAACGTAATTTTTTTTAATAGTAGTCAATGAGCCTTGCATAATAAATAATTTAAATTATTAAAATTGTCTGAAATGGACTCAGTCAAGCTCTCACAGTAGCTTGTTAAATTAGTGTGCTCAAGTTTAGACCAAGTAGTAGAAATGGGTCTTCAATATGGAGAATGCCCAAAATTGACTTCTTTTCATATGATTAAACTAACCAACACATTCAAATAAGTACAAGAATCTGAGTGAGTTAGAGCATAAAATTGTCTTCAATCCACCTAGTTCCAACTAAACATGAAGGAAGTGAACTATTTAAGAAATTAAACATGTAGATATAGATGGTGAAAAATAAAAGAAATTGGAACATATCAATTTTCCTTGAGACCTTCAAGAGACAAAGTCAAATCAGCCCAAAAAATGTTTGTAACAAAGTCTATGAAAGAAAATAGATAAACCCATTTGAAAAGAATACCCTAATGTTGCACATTTAATCATCTTCAGATTGTAGAAATGAAAAAGAGAGAAAGGTAATGTGGATTGCTTAAGCCAAGCATAGAACTTTCCAAGAAATTTCTCACATAGGGTGTGTGTTCCTTAATTGTAATTGCAAATTCCTCATAACATCAAAATGTAATAATACAGTTTCTAAACATTGTTAGCCCACAAATCTCCTATTGGAATTTCTCCTGGTTACGAAAAAAATGAAACACAAAATCTATAAAATCAATAGCCAAATCGAATCTCAATCATCATTAATTGAACCACATAAAGTCCACCGAAATAAACAATTTAATTTAACTGGAAAAAATGACACAAAATCAATCATTTGTATAATACATACATACACACACATACATATGTATGTATTATAAACACATACATACCAGTCTATAGATACATATACACATCTATATAATAAGATAGATACCAGTCTATAGAAGTTAACGTAAGATGTGAAGAAAGATGAAGTCAAAACCTTTACCAAGGATATATAGATTGGGGAAGAATCAGAGTTGTTCATCATATGTTTAAAAAGAAAAACCTAAAAATCTCTACACTACCAAAACATCGATAACACAAATGTTTTAAAACCCCAAAATCGAAACCATACGTCAATCGAACAAACTAACCAAATACAAACTAATTGAATATAGATCCAAGCAATTTCAGAATCGAAAATGAATAAAAACAATTGAAATCGAATGCAAATCAAAATGTCTATTGTGTAGCCATGGAAAACTCCTTATCTCGAGTCATAGCATAAGTCTTAGAGCATCTGTATTCAGCCATTTTTTGATCAAATTTGAGCAGATAAGAGCAGAACCAATGTACCAAGACATACCCATTTTCAAATCAAACCACAAGCATACAAACTTATGTATATAATAACAAAACCAAAAATATGTATATACACAATGAATTGAAGTACCAACCACAAAGAACGGTTCAGATGAGTATCTAAGGATCCAAATATCTCTGCATCTATTCAATGCATACTCTTCATTATCTTCGTCAAAAATAGCTGGTTTTGCTATGATTTTTGAGAACCTTGAATCACAGTATTGCCTGTAAAAGACTTGAAAATGGACTGTTATATTGGATTACATTGTGTTTGGGTGCTCAGAAAACAGAGGAAAAACAAACAAAATCCCAAAAGTTAACTTAGCCCAAATTGTGAACTTTTCTGGGCAACCGAACAGAGTTCAAATTAGAACATATCAAATAATATCTTACCGGATTGAAGGTGTGACAAAACCAGACCCATTGAATATCAATAGGAGGAAGAATCATTGAGGGATGATGAGTTGATGTTGATCCACCTGTAAGATCAGAAATCAATGGCATCCAAAGCTTATCATACCCGAATAAAACCAATCAATCATAAAATCATCAAAATTAATTTGACAGCCCACAGATTACTTACAATAAGATTACTTACAATAAGACTTTCATTGACCCACACACACCCCAAAAAAAAATAAGTGTTATGACCTTCGTACAAATTCGAGTGTTATGACCGACGATCAAAGAATCGAACAGCCCTAGGGTCCTGAAAACAGAGCACCACAATCAGATTAGGGTTGTGAGATTTTTCAAACATTTCCACTCAGAGAGAGAGAGAGTCAAAGAAATGCAAACTATAAAAGAAGGGTTTTCTTACACGGGGTAGGGTTTTGAAGAATGAGAGGAACCCTTGCGCTTGCTTAGCATCTATCACAAAAACAACAAATACCCACAAAAATTAAAGAAAACCCCAATTGAATAAATAATATACCCAAATTGAATAAACCCAAATTGAAACACCGTCGGTATTGAAGGGAGCCGAATTGAGCAGCGTAGCGAAGAGCCTGCAGAAGATTGTCTGTTCGGCATCGAAACAATGGCACCATCGAGCGGTGAACATGGAAGAGAGCGGCAGATGTGGACTACGGCGCTGTTGTAGAAGAGGGGCGTGGTTGATGTGGTTGTGAAGGAGGCAATGGTTCTGGTAACAGTAGTGCGACGGATCGAGAGAGAGAACCCTAGAGAGAGAAAGAGAGAGAGAGAACCCTAGAGAGAGAAAGAGAGAGAGAGTGTGTGAACACAACACCCATCTCTTTCTCTGAACTACAACACATGAGAGATCCACCAACGTGAGAGAACGTGGAGAGAGGGAGTTAAGAGACGTTTGGCAGACGTGAAAGAGAGAGCAGCCGTGGGAGAAAGAGTAGAGAGAGTTTGGGCAGGAAAAAAATAGATCTCAACCGTAGATATTGAATAGGATTGATCTAGACCATTTAAATGAAATGTATCTCACATACATTTTATGCATTTTTAAAAACACTTCTCCCTTATTATATAGATTTTAAAAAAGGACAAAATAAGAAATTCATATTATTTTAATAATTAATTTTTAAAAAAAATTAATATTTTGAGATAATAAAAAATAAAATAAGATATTAATATCTTTTGATGGTGGGTGTACAACCTCTTCATAAAAATAAAAATAAAAATAAAATAAAATAAAATAAAATAAAATAAAATAACGATTTTGTTTAGTCAGATTTTCAAGTGGAGACTAATGGTATTGTTGTTAATAAAATAAAATAACTATTTTGTTAATTTTTTTATTTTCATTCGGCTACCAAAAAAATTTAGTAGCGAAAAGTAGGTCTACAGCGACTAAAAGGAATTTTGTCGCCAAAACTGAACATTTGGCGACCAAAATTTTGGTCGACAAAGATTAAAAATTAATTTTTTTATTTTCATTCGGCTACCAAGCAATTTAGTAGCCAAAAGTAGGTCTACAGCGACTAAAAGGAATTTTGTCGCCGAATCTTAACATTTGGCGACCAAAATTTTGGTCGGCAAAGATTAAAAATTAATTTTTTTATTTTCATTCGGCTACCAAACAATTTAGTAGCTAAAGGTACCTCTACGGCTACTAAATTTTCTTTTAGTCGCCAATTGTGATATGTTTAGCTACTAAAAATTTTTTGAGTCGCCGATTGTAATATTTTTAGCTATTAAATTTTTTTCAGTCGCCAATAATCAACATTCCCCTACTACAAAAAATTAGTAGCTAAAAAGTTGACTTTTGCCGACTAATATTATTTTTGGTAGCCAATTCCATGACTTTTGGCGACTAAATTGTTTTTGGTAACCAAAAATGGTCGGCAAAAATGCATTTTCTTGTAGTGACCTGATCTGTTGGCGTTTTCAGAACAGACAGAATTCGAGGAGGTTGCTTCGCCTGGTGGATGCGTCCCCGGTGAGCAGCCGGAATTGAGAAAGGGCTGCACTGCACAACAAGCTGTGCTACTACTACCATCCTATATACATATATATATATATATATATATAGAGAGAGAGAGAGAGAGAGAGAGAGAGAGAGAGAGAGAGAGAGAGAGTTTGGCTGGCCAATGTAAATTGAAGCGTGCTTCCGAGTTTGAAATGCCAGCAGTCCCTTCTCCCTACTTATTGATTAGGATTCAGAATAAAAATAAATGATACAAAAAATTAATATTATCATATATTTGGTATTAAGTGGTAAAAATATTTTTAATGAAATCAAAAGTCTTGGATTTAAGTTTTATTCACGCTTCTAAACAATAATTTTTATTTTAGATTAGATAAAACTGTCGCGTAACATGACGTGAAGACTTGGATATCAAATCCAGTCTTCACTAAATAATAATAATAATAGTACAACAGTTGGCACATGCAATGCGTATACAATTTAAATAAATAAAATTAAAACTAATATTTTATTATATTTGGAATTAGCATAATACCTTTTAAATAAATAATTAATAATTCATTTAAAATTATAATTATAATTTATTTTGTAAAAGTTTAAAAATACGTTTACTTAGGTATAAAATTATAGTTTCTCTTATGCCATAATTCACAAATACAAAAGAATAAGAGTTGGCTTGAGAATTTATAATTGCACTGGACATTAAAAGTGACATAATCGAATTGACTCAACATTTATATTAGAAAAATGCTTGGGAACACTAATTAGTGCTCCCACTAATTAGGTGGCAGTGGGTCCCGCCATTAATGATGTGATGTTTTGGTCTTGGAGTTGTATTTTTTTTTTTTTTTTTTTTTACGTTTTTAATGCATTAGTGCTATTAGTGGTGATGTTTTTAGTGGGATGAATCATTGTTGTTTATATTAACTGCTATGACCTAATCATAAAGAATTGTCTTAATCTAGGCCTAACCATCAATCACTTAACTCATTTATTTATTAAATTGGTGAATAAATATATATTAGTATTTTTTTATAATAAATTAATAAATATGTACATCTTTATGCATAGTTATTATAAAAATTAAAACTTTGATAAAATTTTATATTTATATTTAAAATTATTAAGGATTTATATAGTTGTGTTAGACACTAAAAATGACATAATCTACTTAACTTACATTTATCTCAACTTAACCATGACCCAATTATTAGAGAATTGTCTTAATCTATACCTAAATATGAATCACTTAACTCATTTATTTATTAAATTGGTGAATAAATATATATTAATATTTTTTTATAATAAAATACATAAGAGTTGGCTTGAGAATTCATAATTGTGCTGACACTAGAAGTGATAGAATCTAATTGACTCAACATTTATCACAACTTGGCCATGACTCAATTATTAGAGAATTGTCTTAGTCTATGCCTGAATAAGAACCACTTAACTCCTCACGAAAACCCTTTTTTACTTATATAATATATAGATATTAGTCTTTTTATAGTAATAAAATATATTAAAGTTGATTTAAGGATTTGTAATTGTGCTAGACACTAACAGTGACATAATCTAATTGACTCAATATTTATCTCAATTTGGCCATAACCTAATCATTAGATAATTGTCTTAATTTATACCTAAATATGAACTACTTAACTCATTTATTTATTAAATTGGTGAATAAATATATGTTAGCATTTTTTTATAATAGAATAATAAATATGTGCATATGTATGCATAGTTATTAAGAAAACAAAAATTCGATAAAATTTTATATTTATATTTAAAATTATTAAGGATTTATAGTTGTGTTAAATATTAAAGTGACATAATCTAATTTATTCAACATTTATCTTAACTTGGCCATAATCTTGTTGGCTTTTTGGCTTTTAAAAGTTATTATTGTAATTTTAAGCGTGCCAGTAAGGATCTATAAGTCCTTATAGAAAATAAATTGCCAACCAATTATCAGACGATTGTGTTTTAGTTCTTTCAGCCTCAATGAGGAGGACTTTTACTGGTGGCTTTGTTTCGGAGAATTAAGTAAATAGCGATTAAATGAAGAACAATTGTAATATTTCATTAAGTAAAAATGAAAGACTTAGAATGATTCAATTTAGCCTCGTAGAGGTTTACAGTAACAAACTACTTGAAACTACTCCTATGAATGAAGTGCAGTGTAGGAATTTGAAGTATAGAAATGTAAAGAACAATAAATATAAAACTGGAAGGAAAATAAAGTAGAACAAAACTGGTTTTTTGAATCTGAGTCTGAGCTTCTTTTTGGGGCCTTCTCTACTATTTATACTTCTCAATGACAACCGTCGAAATGAATTTCTAACCGTCGAACCATCCCTCCATGATTGTTGATCATGTTTTCTTACAGTTAGCTCCACTATGCCATGTCTGCAGTTAGGCTTCCCTCTTGATTTTGAATTTAAATATATGAGAACCGTTAAAGCCACATCATCTTACATCCCTTTGCTGATCCAGTACTATGCAAATCTACAATAACCAATACTAACTGTCACGTGTGTGATTATGATTGAAATTTTGAATTGTCTTCCCGTATTGCCTTCATCCTGCCACATGTTGAACTATGATTGGCTTATACAAAATATGTAGCCAACATTACCTCCCCCACTAATATACCCAATACTTGGTGATATTAGTGGATCGAGGTATTTTACCCACATCTTAAAATGTGCATGGGCTTTGCATTTTTAGAAATGCAACCGTCATTCATCAATGAACATTTGCATTAAATTCTCATTTATCCCTTGAACATTTCCACTATCTCAGTATTTGAAAAGACTAGTTCAGCTCTTATGGCCAAGCAGACATTTTCTTACCTCGATCAAGCATATAAAGAGTTGTTTGATAATGTTGCTCCTCCTCGAAAGAATCTTCATGCATTGATTAGCCACCTTTATCCACCTTCCTATATTCAAGTCATGGAAGTTTTTGCAAACTATCAACCTTTGGATTACGAACCTATAGTCCACAATTCTTTAACCCAAAATTTTGCAAACATGGATATTGGAAGCTCTTCCTTTGACCCAAAACCTTCTGCGTGGGATGAGGCTACAGCTTCTTCTTCTTCTGGGGCTTCTGGTTGGAGAAGCTGGCCAGAACCTGAGAAATCCAAGTTAAGAAAGTGAATCAATCATCATTTTGTCGAATTTGTTGATCCTCTAACTTTCCCTCCCTTTGCTTAGAGTTTAGTGGTTTACCCATATGTACTTATCGACTGCCGACGCCGTTTGGAAGACAACTTACTCGTAGCATGGTACACATCTTCTATGCCTACGAAGATAGTACAAGCCGTCTGTCGTCCAGAATAAGCTCAAGGGTATAGCCCGTCATTCTTAGCCTAGAAGGCAAAACTTTATTCTTCTGACTGGCTTGATATTGTCAACAATCCCCAATTTCCTCATTCTTTCGAGATGGAAGCTCCTGCACTTCCTCTTCTGCAAAACCCTCACTAGATGGAGAGGAACTGAGAAATACTCTCTTTGAGGACCAGTTTCTCCCCTCCTATAACCCTCCATCTCTCCCTACTAAACATCAATGGCAACAAGCCCAACTTCTGCTTGCGGCCTTTTCTCACTTACCCTTCAATGTTCTCGAGGACGATGTTCCTCTTAAGAATTTTCGATGGGCTTGTGATATTATGACCTGAGGTCATGTCCTTAATCTTATCGCCTAAACAGAGCTCTAAATGTTTTTAGACTAACTCCCACTGTTTCTTCATTGGCATCATATTTCTGTGGCCACCACTCGATCTTTGGATCAAATCTCAGCCCGTCGAATTCATACCCGGTATGAAGCAGAGAACATCATTGATGAATATGATGATTTCAAGAATAAAGACTCTGCATACTGGGATGACTTGGACATGGATGAAATAGACCAAGAGTTGAAAGAAACAGAGTTTGAAATAAAGGCCGAAAAACTTTTTTATCAAGTAAGGGCATACCAACTTCAGCAACCTAGCCTGGAGAAAATAAAAGATAGAATAAAAAAGGAACAAAAGTTCATTGACCATAGTTGGAACAAGTTTCATGACCTTGTCATTTACTCTATTCCTTACTTTTATGAACTTGAATATGTAGCCAAGGAAGGTTTCTAATGTAATTGCCTTTGTCTTAATAAAGTTAAGATGTTTTCTCTTTATTTGGCATGGTCTGATTTTGCTCAATTTGTCAAAATCAAACAAAGTTAGGACTTCGAATTCACCATTTTTTGTTCAACACTTGATTCGATCATATCCAATGGAATACTGGAAACCCAATTTGAACTTTTCCAACATATGGGATGTAATTGACAACTTTTGCCTTAGGTCTCATTTCAGAATCAGAGCTTCGAATTCACCAATTTTGTCCTTCGAAACTTGATTTGATCATGTCCAATTCCCCAACATATGGTTAATACAATGAAGTAATTTTAAATCAACTAATTTTTCTTTGAACAAACAGTCTATACTTTCCAAAATATGGAAGCCTTTTTCAAGGACTGCACTATTTTATTCTAAAAAGTGAGTGTATACTACTAAACCAACTATTGGTTTGAAACCTATAACAAACAAATTCTAACCATAAGGTATTTCAAATTTTGCTTCGAAGGATTTTACTCCCATCAAGAAACCTAAAAACGAGTCTCTAATCTTTTTGAAGTAAACAAACACCTAAGCATTCCTGCACCCTTAGGTGTGGAATGTGTTTCAAAGTCGACTTCCTGCTTTCGAAGCTGTTTTTCAGTTGATTTTGGTGCCAAAACTTGGCTTCGAAGCCGAATATTCTATTTCGAAACTAACATTAGTATTTGAGATACGTTTCCCTCAATAACTATCAACTTTGATGGAAACTTTTCGCACGCATACCTTTAGTACTTCTTTATGAATTTCGCTTGTATAAAACGACTGAGTGTTTTTCAGACAGAAAGGTTTAAAAACCCTTTTATTTTGCTTCCAATCCACTTGGTCGTTTAACACACAAACCCTTCATCTTCTGCTGGCTTTCTCTTTCCTTTTTTTCCCTTTACTCTCTTTCCCAACTTCGTCTTCTGAGAAAACTCTCTATCAATGGCTTCTTCTTCCTTGAAAGTACCGAT